CGTATGGAGCTCCCACCACCAGCCTGCGGAGAAGAGGGGTCCATCAGCACCCAGAACCTGGGTGGGAGGCGTGGGAGCAAACCCACGGCCACTGCCGGAGAGGAATGAAATGATTCCCAGCCCAAGCCCCGGGTACATGGGTCAGGAGGTGCCAGGAGAGGGTCCCTTGCTGGAGGAACACCATCATTCCCCAGACCTGACTCGGTGTGAGCAGCAAAACCACTATTTCTCCTTCCCCTTCTCACGACAGCAGGCTGCGATGAGCTGGGGACAATGACTCACCGCTGCCTGGAAGTAATGGCCATCGGATGCCATGGGGGCAGGCTGCGATGAGCTGGGGACAATGACTCACTGCTGCCTGGAAGTAATGGCCATCACATGCCATGGGGGCGAATGAATGACTGGCAGCGAGCGAGGTCTGCAAAACCATCTGGCAGCATGGGGAGGAGCGGGGGACCACTATCACCAGCACCATCACCGTCACCATCACCATCACCACCATCATCACCACCATCACTGTCACCATCATCCCCATCATCACCACCATCACTGTCACCATCACCACCATCACCATCAGCTCATGGCTAGCACTAGCACCAGCACCAGGATGGCACCAAAACCCTCAGCATCCATCTAAGGTCCCCATGGTGGCATGGGCCAAAGGGACACAGGTGTCCCTTCTTGCTGCTCCTTAAAGGAAGGAACCTTTTCATGCCAAGGATATCTTCAGGACATGGATGTTTGCAAAGGAGTCCTGATCATCAATACCCAAAGGAATAGCAAGGAGCTGGTAGAGCAGCAACAGCAACTCACACTGGGATCCACAAGGAATTTTCCCCACTAAAAAGCTGAAAAAGTGAATTTCCAGGAGTTTTGCTCCAACCTGGGGTTGTTCACTTACAAGCAGCCGGGATCCGTACGTTGGGTGGGTGAAGATGTTGGGCATCTATCTGTTCTTTAAAATAAGAGGAGCTGGCAAAAACACGTGCACCCACCAAGGGTGCAGGCCACTGGTTGGGATGTATCTGGGGCATCTCAAGCATTTTTCTCACTTTTCTTGCAGACTTGACCAGAATAGCACAAAACAGCAAACCAAAGGAGGATGAGAGCAGGACCTGAGGAATTTGACCATTCCTTCCAGGCTAGTTCAAAAATACTCCCAACCATGAGTTACTGGCATCTTCTGCTCCCAATGTGTTAGCCCAAAATAAATCTGCTCCATTGCTTTTTTTTTTTTTTTTAGCTTTCCAAAGCCTATTGGTGGATGCAACCATCCAAGTCCGGCTCGCCAGATAAACAGGACCTCTTTTGTTCCTACCCAGCAGCTGGCAAAGCGACCGTCCCCAGCACAGCTGTTCCCTGTTAGACCAGAAATGGTCAAATTTTTTTTTTTAAATCTGCTTTTACAAAGAGACTAAATGCTCTATTCTTTTATTCATCACTACTCAAACGGAATTGCTCAGCAAATTAAAAACCTCCAAAATCTAAGCAGTGTTTAAGGATTCTCATGGAAATACTTCCTGTCTTACAGCTTCATTGCTAACGAGGAGATTAATTAGGGGAAAATAATAACCAGCTGGAGCTGTCCTCAACAGCATCCAGAAGCTCGGGGAAGGCTGGTACCTTCTCCCTGACCTGCACAAGGAGTGTGCTCGTGTCCTTCCATCTCTGCTGCACTATCGATGCCCATTTGCTCCTGGTCAGAGATGGGGGGGGGGAAGGTGGAAGGTGGGAAATGTAGTGAAAGGATGTGGGAAGGGGAGAGAAAAAGACCTTGAAGATTAAAAGAAACAAGGGCTGAGACAACTGAGAAGATGATGTCCTCATTTGTGAGTTCTTCATTCCAATAGATGAGTTTAACATAATTTAACTTCTCAGAGCAGGTTCGCCTCCATGTGTCCCCTCACCCTAATTAACTAATTGTTCACCTATTAATATTAGCACACTAGCCATTAACAAATATTCCCCAACAACAGCGGTCATTAGGTCGAAGCATCCCTTTCAAACGCGAGCCGATGACGAGGACAACCCACCCATTCTCCGCTCCCCAGCCCAACGTCAGCGCTGGAAGCTCAAAGCCCAGGAATTTACACCCGCTGCCAAATGAATGCAAAGGGGTTGTGAAGCTCAGGAAAACAGAATTTTTTTGTCTCACAAAGACAATGGCATTGTTTTCCCTTCTCGGTGAAATTTCAGTGATTAATCAGATGAAGCTGTCAAATGCTCATGGAAAGTTGGCAGCTGGGGAAAAGGTTTCTCCAGCCGGCCGCAGGGATGCTCTAAGTGTTCCCCAAAGTCAGCTCTCAGAGATGCTGCTCAACTCCCGAGCTCACAGGTTGCTTACAAACCTTTTTTTTTTTTTTCTAAAAAAAAAAAAAAAAGTCCCATCCCAAATCACCCAAATCACCCAAATCCAATTGGAGCATCCTGCCGCAGCAGGGAGCCATCCCCTGCTCCATCCCAGTGTTCCCCCTCCCCGCTCACCCTTGGGTCACCCCAAATTTCCTCCCTGGAGGGTTGCAATTCCCCCCCCTGCAGATGCTAAACAAGCAAAGCCCTCTGCAAAGGCCCCTGCGTCACGGCTTGGCTAATAAATGAAGCTTTAAAAGAAAATAAGAACCAAACAAGCCCGCCCTCGCCTTCCCTTTCATGCGCTCCTTCTGGGGAAAACAAAAGCAAAAAATTTAGAAAAAAGGATTAAATGTGAAAAAGCCCAGACTGCTCAGAGCAACATGTCTGAGGATGTATTTTTAACTTTCATCCTGGGAAAACAAAACAAAACAAAACAAAAAACAATGAAAAGGAGGCTGTTGGTGGAAATAACCCGAGGAGCCTCTGCCGGAGCTGCGAGGGGAGTGGAACCCAATTTCTGCTTTGCCAGCACGGCGGCATCCGCACCCGGGCTGGGTCCCGCTTTCCGGAGCCTCACATCAAACATCAAAATGATGTGTTGAGCTCCATTTGCATTTTTTTTGCACCGTTTTATATTATTTCATTACACAGGCACGGGAGCGGCGGGTGCAGCGCTTCTAGGGCAACAGGGCAACAGAAAACCCAAAACGCTGCCGGGCTTCAGTGTCTGAAGCAATTAGAGTCCCTGCTGCTCGGTACTGATTGAATTACTGGTTTGGTTTTTTTTTTCCCTTGGTCAAAACATTATCTGGTGACATTCCCTGTGTCACAGGCATTTGTTCATGCCTTATCTGGGTACTGAACCTAATAAATTATGTTTGGCTGGAGCACATCTCCCAGAAAAAACACCCGTCCCTGATTTGAAGGCATCAAGCGATGGAGAAGGCGGCATTCCCTTGGGAAATTTGCTGCAGGGTTCATCACTTAAATATTAGCGGCCAATGGATGTATCTCCAGGCTGCGGTGCTGAGCCGAAGGGATGTCCCCATCCCCAGCATCTCCTCCTGGAGATGTGTACCACTGCCATCAACCCACCTCCCCCATGGTTCCAATTCTTTTATTTAATCCCGGTTTATCTTTATTTTTGTTCACTGAATACTTTTTAGTTGCTCTTAGCTTTTACCTGCACTTTCTCCTTTATTAACCAGCATCCTTGCCTGGATGCAGCTCAGCCCCTCGCCCCATCCACAATGGTGATCCCACACCCCAGATATCCTTCAGACCTTCCACACCCAGAAAACTCCTGACTTTTTACGGGAATAACCGCCCTGGCACAGCAGGCTCCCTGGGTGCACTGCGGAGAGGTTGCAAAGCTCATTTTGAGCCTCGAGATATTTTGATGAAATGGCAAGAAATCAGGAAGGGAAGGTATGTCTAGCTGGTGATCCGGGAATGTGGGAATTAGGGAGGAATGGAGAAGCAACGACGCTTTTCACAGGATTTTTCAATCATTGGGACACTTAATCTCCCGCAAGGCAAATCCACTTGCAGTTAATTTATTCAAGATGGAACAGGAGGAAGAAGTGATTAAGGAGGTTCAGGAAAGGGAGAGTTCAGCTGTGGAAAACTTTAAATGGGATCAGAGCTCCTTGGAGGGAGTGCGACAGAGGAATGGACTTCAAAATATTTTTCTTCATGTTGGCAACGGTGGAGAAGAAACACCAAGTGGGTGTCCAAGGAGAGGCAGAAATGGGGAAGGAGTCAACGAGATGGTGGCACAGGAGGAGGTGGGACCTGAAAAGGAGTCCTCGGTCCACCAGCAGCTTTCTGCATGGCCTCTAGCAAATAATTTTATCAATCTTGGGTCATTTTTTCGTATTTAAATATGAGAGAGCTCCACTGGAGAGCACCGGCAATGCAGGATGGTCCTGGGGATGGTGAGGATCCCATCGCTCTGCATGGGTGGCAATGGGCAGACTGTCACCCAGGCCAGTTCTGCTCCCCAGGAGCAGAGAAAACCCCTGTGTCAGTGACCAGAAATACTCTTTGTTTTTCCACAGCTGTGGCTGGGTGACCTCCAGCACGCTCGGACGGAGGGAACTGGAGTTGACTATTGCGTTATTGAACCCAGGTCCATCCCTTAGCACTGCCCAGTGCCCGGGGAGGTGCAGCAGAGATATCAGAAGATGACAAACTGATTTTTTTTGGTCTCTCTGTGGCAGGAAGAGGATGGTTACAGTGGGGAAATATTTTGCAGCATCTGCATCAGGTTTCCACCACCCTCGGTGAGGGAAAATGTCCCCAGGTGCTGATGCTCCTCCCAGCCGCGGCTCTTTCATCCATGTCCTTCTCTCCTGGTGGAACATCGTCTCATCCCACTCCGTCCCCATCACCTCCAGCTCTTGCACAGCTCCTGGGCTGACGTCCCTCCCCCAGCTCTTGGGGGGGCTCTTCTCCAGCACCCAGCTTTGGGTTGAGTTGTTACCCGGGAACTGTTCGGGTTCGTTATTTAGTGTTGATTGCAGGGGAGCGTTACACCCTTTACAATTTTTTTTTTTTTGCCCATTGAACACCTGAGAAATCGCCCCTTGGCAGAAGCATTCCTTGCGGAGGCATAAGACCCTCTCGCTCCCTCCCAGGTCTCCCCGTGCTCCCCATATTACCCCAATTAATAGACAACCCACTAACGACACCACATTTTATTAATTTTAGGGGATTTCCCTCACCAAGCATGGCACATCCTTGCTCTGTAGTCTGGGTCCCACTGACCCCGCAGTGCCCAGCACAGGCGACCAGGTCCAGACCCAGACCCACTCCTGGGCATGAGCTTTGTCCCCAATCCCTGTCCCCTCCTGTCCCCACAGGAGCCTTTCCATCTGCCACCGATGCTCACAAGCACCCTTGGTTGCTGCTTTTTTGCTTTTTTTCAAAGGCTGCTCGGTGTTTTCTCTGCTTTATAGCAAACTCTCCCCTTGCAAAACGAAACACAAACACGCCGGCAATCCCCGCAGCTGCTCCACGCTGGGTCCAGCCGCCGATGGATGCTCCTAATTACACAGCCCGCTCCCACAAACCCCTCCCGCGGCCGGGCAGGACATCCCCCCCATGCCGAGCCGCCACGTCACCGGAACAGCCCCGAGGGGACCCAGGACATGGAGCTGAGCAGGGTCCGAGCCCCGCAGCAATTGCACGGCCACGGCAGAAAGTGAAATTACC